GGATTTTCTTTTCTTTTCTTTTTTTTTTTTTTGAGATAGAGCCTCAAGCTGTCCCCCTGGGTAGAGTGCTATGGCATCACAGCTCACAGCAACCTCCAACCCCTGGGCTCAAGCAAGTCTCCTGCTTCTGCCTCCCAAGTAGCTGGGACCACAGGCTCCCACCACAATGCCCAGCTATTTTTTGGTTGCAGCCATCATTGTTGTTTGTGGGCCCGGGCTGGATTTGAACCTGCCACCTTGGGTGTACGTGGCTGGCGCCTTAGCCACTTGAGCCATAGGTGCTGAGCCTGGATTTTCTTTTTTATTTCTTTTGAGGAGGGATTACAAGCTGCTGGGATTACAGGTGTGGACCACCATGCCTGGTCCAGTATATTTGTGAGATTAATCTATGTTATTGTGTTTAGCAGTAGTTAATTTTTATTGCTAAGTAATATTCCATTGTATGAATACATTGATTTGTTTATCCATTCATGTGCTGATGGACATCTTGGTTGTTTCCAGGTTTGAGCTGTTGTGAGTAAAATTTATATATTTATGTGTAAGTCTTTTTTGTGTTTAGGGGTGTGTGTGTTTGGTGGAGTTATTTTATCTCTCATGAGGAAATATCTGGGAGAGAAATTGCTAGGTCATATAAGAAACTGCCAAACTGTCGGTTCTGTGGCTCACACCTGTAATCTTATCACTCTGGGAGGCTGAGGCGGGTAGATTGCTTGAGCCCATGGGTTCAAGACCAGCCTGAGGCAGAGCGAGACTTTGTGACTACTACAATACAAAATATTGAGGCAAGATAACTGCTTGAGCCTAGGAGTTGGAGGTTGCTGTGAGCTATGATGTTGCCAAGGCACTCTACCCAGAGTGACAGCTTGAGACTCTGTCTCCAAGAAAAGAAAAGAAAAGAAAAGAAACTGCCAAACACAACAATTCAATTTTTTTCTTTTTCTTTATTTGTAGGGAAGGGCAAAAGGGGGGAAAATAAGAAAAACTGAGACAGAAGAGCTACCAAATCCACTGGGGAGGGAGGGGGAGGTCAACAATTCTCAGTTTGTGTTTTGTTTGTTTTGGACAGAATCTCACTTTGTCACCCTCAGTAGAATGCCATGGTGTCATAGCTTACAGCAACCTCCAACTCTTGGGCTCAAGTGATTCTCTTGCCTCAGCCTCCTGAATAGCTGGGACTACAGGAGCCTGAGTATTTTTAGAGAAGAGGTCTGGCTTTGGCTCAGGCTGGTTTCAAACTCCTGAGCTCAAGTGATTCACCTGACATGGCCTCCCAGAGTGCTAGGGTTATAGGTGTGAGGCACTGCATCTGGCCTTCAAAAATTCTTTTTAACTTTATAAATATCATTACCATTAATGTCATAAAGACACTGTGGGGGGGGGATGGAGAAGAAAGGGGTTGGTAAATTCCCACCCAATGGGTACATTGCATGGGTATTTGGCACAGTACCTGGTTGTGGGACACACCTACAAATCGGACTCTAACCTTACAAATGCAAACTATGGAATCTGTACCCCTACATTAATCTGAAAAAAAGAGAAAAAAGTGACATTGTGCATTTCCTCCAAAGAACTAAGGGTTAGGGGGAGAACAATTTTTATGAGAAAAATTTTTTTTTTTTTTTTTTTTTTTTTGAGACAGAGCCTCAAGCTGTCCCCCTGGGCAGAGTGCCGTGGCATTACAGCTCATGGCAACCTCCAACTCCTGGGCTCAAGCGAGTCTCCTGCCTCCGCCTCCCAAGTAGCTGGGACCACAGGCGCCCGCCACAACACCCGGCTATTTTTTGGTTGCAGCCGTCATTGTTGTTTGGCGGGTCCGAGCTGGGGATTCGAACCCGCCACCTTAGGTGTACGTGGAGAAAAAAATTTTAAAATATTTAAATACACATTAAGTTTTTCATAGCTCAATGTTTTTTTTTTTAATAGATAGTAAGAAAGAGGATTAAGGAAATGTAAGAGAGGAACTAAAAAGGAAGGCAAAGCGATGCAAAATAATTACTGAAAAGACTTCTTGACAATGGCAAAATCATCCTACACAGCTGCTCTGAGATCTCAGCACTGTTATCAGCAGCCTTCTGGTAAAGCTACTTTGTCAAATAGATACAATAGGATCCATATCGATCTTGGTGAAGGAGTATCTTTATTAATATAAGCAAACACGCCTCTCATTCATAGTAATATGAAGGCGTGGGCTTTTTCTTTTACTCTTAGTAGTAATGTTTCCCCCATATATATCACTTTCCTTTGATATGTGGGTTGAGTCATAAATTAATGTCACAAATAAATGTCTTCTAGATGAGGGAGGCAACTACATTACAAAGTAGGAAGGTGTAACTTGATGTGAATTGTTAACGGTTGACAGCTATGTACTCTTGAACTAAATGTCATCATGTCAAATTCTGAGATCTTAAACAGTTGTTGGAATGTACAATTGTGGACTTTTAGGTCTGCAGCCTAAGTTTTGTCAATCTTTTCTAGACATTCTGAAATGGAAATGAACAGGTGGACTGAAAACAAAGACAAATGAGGAGTTTAAAGACTTTCTTGGCATCTCATAGAGAAGTCGCTCTACACTGATGATGTTTTAAACAAAACATGTATAAATACATTCAGCATGTCTGGAAACAGACTTATTGGATCTTTCCTTTTACCTTTGAGACAAAAATAGAGGACTCAAGTGCATTATGTATACTTTCTATCATGTATTATTTAATCTCAAGCTAGGAAAGAGAAAGGAACTATTTTACAATTCCATAATGTACATTAGTGAGCTTAACCCACTTAATCTTAAAATAACAGTATCAGGTCAGGGATTTAGAATACAGTATTATATGAAACAGTTGGCAGGGAGACTCCCTCTTCTGCCATTAATAACTGACTGGAAACAGCAGTATTTCAGACCCTAAATCCAACTGAAACCTAGAAACAATAAATGGAGAGGATGGGTGGATAATTTGTGAGAACATGTTTTTTAAAGCAGAGAAAGAATCACTGTTTTTGCTGAATTATATGTTGCCATGGACATGGCAGTATCCAGTAATAACGCTATCATCTATACAGCTGTATAACACCACAGCTTCTCCTTCTCCCACTCCCCTCAGTAAAGCCTGAAAATAATAGGCTTGTGTGTAGTTTGGTGAGAAAATTAGAATCACTTAAAGCCATTTAAGTTCCAACCTAGGAAAGGAAAAAAAGAGACTTGGGGAATGGGAAAGAAGAAAAAACGAAACGTAGAAAAAAGATAATAAATTACATATTATGTAATAAAGCGTAATGTGTCTTATGCAGAAAGCAAAAAGGAGATTCTTGGTGTAATAGAAAACAAATGGGTGAAAACCAGTGAAATGAGTAAATCCAGTGAAAAGACCTGGACTGCTCCTGACCTTGAGCAAAGTCACTGTGTCTTTAAGGCTGTTTCCTCTTCATGGAATGTAATCATAATGGTAATGCCCTTTACCTTAAAGGCTGTGGTAAGGATTAAAGTGGTGAAAACAACTTGTAAACAATAAAGCCCAATAAAAATAAGGCATCATATAGACACACTGCACTGCTAAATCTTCACAGGCAGCGATGAGTTAAGGAAAAATGGTCTAGAAGGCGTTGGAGATTAACGACCTGGGTTCTAATTCCAACACCATGGATAGAAGTTTTGAGACTTTGAAGCAAGTAAGTTACTATCATAATTTTTAGTTTCGTCTTTCTGAGAAATGAAGATAACACCATTTTCTTCACAGAATCAAGTGAGAAAACCTATGCAAAGTAAAGTATCACTCGGAGGGTGTTTGAGGCCCGCTTTCCCCGAACTTAATTCAGTGAGTGACATCAACAAAAGTGTTCACAGTTATGGTATCTTAAAGATGCCATAGGCAAGGAAGGAACAGATAAGGAAACTTCAGTACATAAATGCAAACCAAGTGGGAACACGCTTGGAGATGTCTTAGTTCACCTTAACCACGTGGAGCTAGGGTATTCATCCACATTTAATAAAGACATTCAGAGTTGGAGAGCGGGCGAATCGAGTGTCCTTTCGACTCCACGGACTCGACGGGAGGGACCCTGAGATTCTTAATTAGAACCGGTTGCCATGGTGACAGTCTCTAGGCAGTGTGGGCTGAGCTCATCGTAGGGATAGAGGGTGGGCCGCGGCTGGACCCTGCGCGCGCCCGCCGCCAACTTTCCCTCCAGAGCCGAGAGGGGCGGCGCGCTCCGTGCCCGGGCCGCGCACGTCCGCCCTCGGCGGCGCGCACGCCTGCAGGAGCCCTCTCCAGGCAACCTAGTGCTGATCGCTCGTACCGGTGCGGCTGTTAACCGCCCTTGCGGGAGCCCGAGGCTCAAAAGCAGCCCCCTCCCCTTCCTGGGTTTCCCCCCAGCCCCCTTCCTGGTCGGCCCCTGGGCATGAGCAGCGATGGCTGGCTGCAGTCCTGAGGAGAAAACTTACCGGCGCTTCCTGGAGCTATTCCTGGGCGAGTTTCGCGGTCCGTGTGGCGGCGGCGAGCCGGAGCCGGAGCCCGAACCCGAGTCCGAGCCTGAGCCCGAGCCCGAGCCCGAACTGGTAGCAGCTGAGGCGGCCGAGGCTTCGGTTGAGGACCCCGAGGAGGAGGCGGCCACGGTAGCCGCGACAGAGGAGGGGGAGCAGGAGCAAGACCCGGAGCCCGAGGAGGGGGCGGTGGAGGAGGACGCGGTGGCGGCGGTCGAGGGCGAAGAGGAGGAGGAGGTGGCGGCTGTCGCCCCGGGGCACCCGGCCGTGCCACCGCCGCCGCAGCCCCAGCTGCCCCCGTTGCCCCCGCTGCCGCGGCCGCTGTCGGAGCGCATCACCCGTGAGGAGGTAGAGGGCGAGAGCCTGGACCTGTGCCTGCAGCAGCTCTACAAATAGTTAAGTAGCGGGGCTTGGCTGGGGGTGGGCCCGTTGTCCCCGCCGCGCCGGCCTCGGACGCGGCTCCCTCGGCCCCTTCAACTGCTCTCTTTCTGCTCCTCTCCCCCGCACCCGCGCCCGCCGCCGCTGAAAGCGCCCCCGCCGCTCGGACTCGGGCGGTCGGCTGCGAGCTGCCCACGCCCGCCTCGGCTCCCGCGCCGCCCGCCGGGCCTGGGAGCCGCTCTTCGGGCCCCTCGCGCCTGCCGACGGGCCCCGGCCCCTCCATTCCCCTTCATCTCGGCCGACCGCTTCTTGCTCCACTTCACACACCTCCTCGCCTTCCTGCTGTGGAAGGTTCTTCCTCCCAGTCTTGAGCTCCCTTTCCCAGCTCCCTTCATCCTCACGGAGGTTTCCTCCCACCCTAGTCTGTCTTTTCCCAGGCTGGGTCCCTTGTTTAGTGGCGGAGAGATGCGACTCCTAGGCTGAGCTGCCAGGTGCCTTCTGTGTAGCTGCAACAGTGACAATAATAACGGCCCCATAGCCACAGGAGGAGAGACTGGAGTAGATTCCGTTAGGTGCTCAGTGTTGAAAGTGAAGAGCTCTTTACATGGCTTAATACACGGGAGCCGAATATCTTAGTTTAAAGACAGTCGGCAACTCATAATTGAGGGAGATGGGAAGGGTAAGGAAAATTGTGCAAGGGAGCTTTCAGGTGAAAGACAGAGTCATAATTCGTTAGAGTGGAAGTCAGGCTGTTTTGATAAAATTGCAATTAGGTGCAGTATTTTCAGTCCATTAGGTAGATGGGGTGGGGAGAAAGCAGATGGCTTAGCTACACAGATGCAAGTCTAAAATAGAAAGGTCAAGGCTTTGCCTTTCATCCCAGTTCTGGTTTTTATGGGCCTGAAATAGAAACGGTTTACAATTGCGTTTCTTTCTAAATGGAATTGTTTAGAAATGACAGAGGAGAATACTAACAAGTCTCTGAAAACAATGGTAAACCTGGGAGTCTTTTTTACCATTCAGTTGATAGTTATAATGAAAGGTGTTACTCTGGCCACCCCCAAAGTTTACTACTCCAAGATTGACTGTAATTAAGTTCAGACTCCTTGGATTTTCTCAAAAGCCTAGATAAAAGAAGGGCCTGGAAAATAAAATTGTTTCATCTTCATCTAACCTAAAGGCACCTGATCAAATTATTCTGTTAAACCTGCCGTTTAACAATAGGGAAAAGGTATTTAACAACTCTGTTGTAGAAGTAGACATGTTGATGTCTCACACTATAAGCTATATAAAATTTAATGTAAAAATACTGTCGAATTACCAAGGTAATAATGCTTTGTGAGAAATGTAAAAAATAAAATGGTGTTTAATACCACCACCCAGAGATAAACAATATTGACATTTTTAAGTTATTTCTTTCTAGTCTTCATAAACTATTACAGAAAAGGGCTTATGAGTTTTTTTTACACCATTTAAAGACAGATAAAGCTTTCTACTTAAAATGGAAATGCTTACCAAAGTGAAGGAATTTATCTCAGCATCAGACTAGTTCTATTTTGACAGTTCATTCTTACCTTTACCAGTGCAGTTACAGAATTAATTCAAACAGTAGAGAATGTCCAGAAAAGGTCATTAGCTTAATATAACCATGAACATTTGCTATTCAAGGTTTTTTGTTTGCTTGTTTTTATTGAAACCCATATAAAGATGATGGTAAGAAGATGTGTGTTTTTCCATATGGAAGGGAAGCAAGATTAGTTTCCATACAAATATAAACTACAAAAAGGATTAAAATGATAAAATGGCCACCTAGTTGACGGAAGTTTGGATTTAAAATAAAAGTAGCATAATTAAAATTGGAAAGTACTATATCCCCTTAAATCAGAGATTTAATCATTTATACAGTGTACAGAATCTGTTAACACATTTTTATTCAGATATAAAATGGCTGGCTTGTTTATGTAAAGTATCTTTAAGGTCCTTAACAGTTTTAAAAGTCATAATGATGCTTTTAGTTTTTATTTTTATAAAAGAAAAGCATATGACTTAAGTCACAAGAATAGCTACTCAAAGACTCTGCAGGGATAATTTCTCCTTCCAAGCAATTCATTTTACAGATGAGTAAACTATAAATACCAATTCAGAACTGACAAATTATGTACAAATGATTCCACATTTTTCAGTATAATCTCTGAACCTCAAAACTATCAGTGGTTTTTCTCTATTTTTTTCAAATGCCCCTAACAGTATTTATTTAATAGTCTTAAAGTGTCAGGCCTGTCAAATAATGCTAAAATTTCTATTTTTTTATTTCTATTTTTTTTTAAGGCAAGCATGAAACAGAGTTTATTGAGGAAGAAAAAGATAGGCTTACAGAGTAAGAAAGCTTATGAAGCAGGATACATCCACCAGAAACAACGAATGGGCCTCCAGTGGCAGGGCAAGTAGGCAAAGAGGCTTTTTATTCTTTTATGCTAAAATTGCTAAAGTTACCTG